GCGAAATCAGCATTTTGCTGTTCCTTATGTGAAATGAGCATCTCTGCGGTCACACATTCTCGTGAAATCAACTTTTCACTGTTTTTGAAGTAAAATCGACATCTCTGAGCTTATGCACTGGCATGAAATCAACATCTCTATCTGGGCTGTCATTAAGTTTTTATTCACCTGTAGCCCTAACCCATAGCAAGCTTGTTACTTAATGGGTGAATTGTATCAACTACAGGCCAGTTCACCCATAACATCAAGGTTCCATCAAACATACTCAGCCATAAACAGCTAGGTGTTACGGGTTATGGCCCTTATTTACAGCCCTGTCTATGGTCACACATTCTCATGAAATCAACATTTTCCTGTTTTTGAAGTGAAATCAACTTGGAGCTTATGCATTGATGTGAAATCAACATTTAACTGTTTTTGAATTGAAATCAACATCTCTGCGGTCGCGCTTTCTTGTGAAGATTATCAACATCTCACTGTTTTTGAAGTGAAATTAACATCTTTGAGCTTACACATTGACGTGAAATTAACATTTTCCTGTTTGTTAAGTAAAAAATAAACATCTTTGCAGTCGCATGCTGATGTTACAACAAATAAACACCTAAAGACGAAGCCAGGAAATGCAGAGTTTTTTTGAATACATTATATCTTGAAAACTTTGTTGACAGTATAACTTAATCCAACCAAAAATAATTTCTTTTTACAGAACACTTAGCGTATTTTCACTTTAAATCAATTTGAATGTGGTACTGTTCTGGAGTTTTCTGAAAAATGCAATTGTAGCGCTCAGTGACAAGTTGTCAATCAATAAATGAACTCATCCATGAAATTGAACTGTGGGCGTTTTTCAGAATCATAGGATTTGTGGGAAGCATTCCTTCAGTTGCCCCACCACCCCCTGCTCTATCAATAGTTTTCACTCTCCTTCTGGAATGCTTGCTATGCAGGCTGTGTTTAGTTTGTGTAGGTCAACACTTACAACCTGAGAGACTACAACTTTCTAGTCAAAAATTGACTACATCACTAGTATTAAGAAGAAAAAGCACCATTTTTAGTTGACAAATCCTTGCCAGAAAAAAACAAAGACCTTCAAACTTTCTTCATCCCATCAAAAATAGGTATGAATGTTTCCAAATAATCAGACTAACACCAATGACTGTCATGCAACTTAGCAACAATGTCAAAAACCATAATCTGCTGGATTTCTCTTCCAATTCTACAATGATACAATCCTCAAAGTGACTTAAATTATAGTGATGCATTCATCCACTACATGTAAAGAAAAACTTCAACTCACCTGCCATGTCTGATGCATTTCACTTCCACTACTGATATTTTGATGTTTATGTGCTTCTTGTTTACCCTGATAAGAGTTACAAACGTATCATCGAGTTACTTATGATTTCTTGCTGTTAGCATACTCTAGCATTATAAATTTAACTGATGGAATTAGAACTACTAGGAGTAATAATATATACAGGTGTAGGTATACTTGCAGATACCAGAAATATAAACTGACCTGATCAAGCTGTATCTGTCTCCTCCATTGATCGTAGTTGTCCCATGTTGTTGTTTGCTTCTTGTTTGCCTGATAATTAATGACAGAAAATATTTCAATGAGAGACTTATCAGCTGCTGTTTACTTTTGAGTAGAAATTATTACATGTAAAATTGAAAATTGTATTAAATATGCTATCTATAAAGTGATTGTTTCAACTGCAGCTTTGTTTACATTTTTCCAGGGACCCATAAAGCATAATAAAGAACAAATTCCCACAGTTCATATTTTGTCACTAAGAACTGTACTGAACAATCCCAGGACTAAAGAAAATAATCCAAAAATAAACATCTGTAAAAATGCTCCATCATAAATACTGCAAAGTTGCTTTCTCCAGGTAAGTAAACTGTCAATTTAACCCCCTTAACAAATCAAGATAACATAGCAAATGGTTTGAACCCAGGAGTATCAAAAGTTTATTTAGTGTAATCGTCTGGGTGATGATAGTTCTGAAAAGAATTGTTGTTGGTGACTGATGTTCTGGCCAATGATCTGACCAATACCTGATGACAAACTTTACACGAGTCTTACAGCCAATACTGAACCATCATGGCTAAACTGACCAATCATTTTCAATGGACCGGATTTTTAACACCATCGACTGACAAACACCATTCACTTGACTCTGAAGATGACTTCCTCTTAGGTTGTCAAAACGTCAATCACCAACAACAGTTCTTTTCAGAAGTACCCTCACTGGGATGATCACACCATACCAACTAAATCAAGATAAGTTCAAACTTGTGAGAAAGGAGTCCCGGCATCTCTACAATAAAATATGTCATGTTCTCCCTTTCATCAATTCTCAGGAGACAGAATTCCAGCTGATACTACATATGGTAGCTGCTATGTAGAGTGAACTCCTAATTCTCATAATTATATACATGTACACCAAAAATTACCTTTAATACATGCAGCTGTATCTGAAGTCCACCATTAGTCTTTCAGTTCTCCAATATCACCAGATTATGTTCATGTGCTTCACGTTTTGACTAAGTAATACAGACACTGATAAGTGATTTAGTGCTGACTTTTTCAAGTACAATAGTAACATCATGCGCACAAATATCTTCAAACAATCACTGAAGAAAACCTATTACAAACAAATCAAATGCAAAGGGTTGTCCGTTGGATTATTGTTTGCTGGGAAGGGGGGAAGGAGAACTTCCCAAAAAAAATGGTTAAGGAGGAAGGAATGTCAAACAGGTATGAAAAAAAAATTCTTCAAG